ATCATGGAGAATTTTGCATGATCTCTAGAGAATCATRGGCTGGGTGACAAGCTTGCACATAGCTGAGGTGACCTCTATGTGTAGTTAGTGTTCTGCCTGATGTCTCTCTGACTTCTCCCTGGCTGGAGAGATGAGCTGAAATCTTACTTGAAACTGTATTACACAGCCCTGGCAGACTCCTGTCCTTAGGGAGAGGCTGGGAAACATTGGCTTAGTCCCTTTCTCGGTCAGGTGACTCTGCTGAGGCTATGACACTGCAATAAAATAAATACCTCTAAGGGAAGTTTTGGAGGACCTTCATGATACTTGGCATCCTTTTTAGCGGTAGACAAAGACTACTACCCTCTTTAGAAAGGTGAGTACACCTGTAAATACCAGACCTCCTATGTAACAGCAGAGGAGAGCATATTACTGGACATGATCCCAGTTCATACTGGTTCAGAGCTACTGGATGTGCAATTCCAGAGATGGTGAGCCTGGAAAGGACACCCTGTCCCATGGCCCACTTCGTTCTCTCTGTTGGGGACCTTCCTAGCTCTGCTGTATCAGCAGCAATCCAGCTCCTTACACAGCTGGAGTCATGTGGAACCTCCTGGCTTCARCTCTCTAGTTTCATTCTGACAAGTTAACAGAAAAAAAAGAGATTTCATGCTTGTCATTCTGTAAGGGAGGGGGGGCTGCCATATTTTTGTGTATTTGGATTGTTCAGATTGAAATGTTTATCTGCACCATATACCAGAGTGCCAGTGTTTCTGGAGTGAAAAGAATAGCTTGACAACTGTGTGCTATTCAGAAGAATGACCCRGGAATCAAACAAATTGCCTGCGGAAAGTATCGCCTTCCTAACCTGTGGTGGTTTGTGTCTTGAGGTGGAAATTAGTTAGTAGCAGCTTATTAGTGATTAAAACTTTTGCTTAGCTTGGCTTTAGCACCTACATAGAAATTGATTTACAGTAAAAATGGGTCTCCACCAAAGCCTCCGTTACTAGATAAAGATAACTCAGTTCGTTCCTATGCATGTCTTTATCCAGCATTTGCTGCTGTACTTGGGAAAGGGAATTTGGGCAGAAGGCCTTGTCTGGTRCAGTGTACAAGTTTTGTTTCTGTGGATGAATTCTTGCAGGGCTGCATGCACCAGCCCTTTGAGCATTTGAYGGTCAGAGGCTTGATCTTGGCAAACTTAGGAAAACAGTTCCTCACAAAGAGTCTCAGGAGGCAGTCAAGCAATGCATAGAAGTGGTGCCTTAGGCCTTTGGAGGCTGGAAGTACTGGAATGTGGTGTAGATGGAGAGGATTTCTGTGGTTTACCTGCCTGAGGGAAAGCTTTCAATGGAGAAGAGCTATTATTACTTTTGGGTCTAGAAGATTTCTTTGTGGCTCAGGACCCTGTTGTACAGAAGCTGTGAAAGCATGAAACAACAAGGCACACCCTAAGATGTGCAATGACTTTCACGTGCTTTTGAAAGGGAAGGTTTTAGGCTGACACCTTGGTCTGAAGACAAGGATCTTTCTKTGTCCCTGACTGRATCARGAGTGACAGTAACAACATGGCTTAAATGTAGAAACAGCTCTATTGCARTGAGCCTTCTGGCATTWTCCTGAGTGGAACTCGGTACCAGTGAGACAGTCAGGAGCTACTCCACCTTTCTGCAGCTAAAGAACAAGAGCCATTTTTTGATAACCTAATAGGGAGTTGATAGCAGGTGTGGCCTAATAATTAYGTTGGCTCCTAAGTGAGAGCAGGTATGTGAGGGAAGGAGGGAAGTATCTTTCCTAACATTGCAAGCAGAAATGGTTACAGCTGTCGTTTGCATGGTTCAGTTTGCCTGATGTTGCTGGTTGTAGTGCTGTCTGTGATGCCTTTATCCATAATTCTCTGGAGGTGTGAAATGAATAGCAATGTAGTCACTCTTTCCCTCTTTCTTCARAGAGCTTCTCTTGCAGGAGCTGCAGTGAGGTGTTAAGTAGCTCTTGCATGTGAGAGGTGATATAGAAGGGTGGGAAGGTAGGGATAAACATTCCTTTGCCCTGCAAATATGATATGCTAGATAGCCTCCTCTTAGCAGAGGTGGCAGTGGCATCAGGAGGAGTCTTGTATGTAGTACTGGCCCACATAAAACTCCAGTCAACCCAATATAACTCCAGTTGTGTTGCTTGTACTATGTAGGCTCTGCCAGCCCTCTTGAATCATTTGGTGACTCTTGCTAAATTAGGCTGTCCACAAAGTATCCCTGTCRTCTTTGCTGTAAAATAACCTTCAGACTTTGGCACATATATTTAGTTTTCCTGGTTTTCCCTGGTCTCAGACCCTTGATGGCTCACAATACATGGTATTTCAAGAATAGATGGGCATGAAAGGGAGGACTGGCAATCTGTTTGAACTTCTAGGGCTCATTCAGGGTGACAGCAGCAGCTGTTCTTTTCTGCCCCTCTGTGCAGTACTAAGTACCTTCCTTATGTCTGCATGCAGATCCAATTTGATCTGCTGACTGACATAGGCTCATGAAGTATGTAAGGTCCAGAAAAAGGCTGGCAGAAAASGGTCTTCCTTGTTCTTTGACCTTTTTGCTTCTACCAAGCTGGATTTTTCTGGACTTCTATAAAGTCTAYGCAACTGCTGTGGAGATACATACTCAACTGACTGCTACTCAGGTCCTGGGGATTAGCCTGTAGAAATATTGTACTGCTAYGTTGTATGTTCCCCCTTAGCTGCTATGCTGTTGACTACTGTATAGCCTCAAGCTGTGGGATACTTTGCCACATGATGCTACAGATGCTGAAAACATGCATTCRAAAACAGGTTGAAGAAATTAATGGAAGAGAAATCTGCTGAGTGCTCATTCATAGGTGCCACATGCAGCTCAGGGAAGTTCCTGTCAGCAAGTGGTTAGAGGCTTGGAGAGCATGCAGGGAGTCATCATGTATGCTTGCCCTGTGGTCAAAGCAAGGGAAGGTATCTGGTTTTGGCTGCTATCTGGAGAGACTGTAAGGCCATGATAAACCTTAGTCTGATCCAGCACAGCTACTATTATATTTCAAAGCCTGTTAGGGATAGTAAATCTGGTTATTTGAGTCCRTAACTCGTGAGAAAGCAAGCAGATGTGACTCAAATTCTAACATGGAAACTGCAGAAAAGAATGGATTCAGGTTTTGGGATGTTTGGTCTGACTGTCCCTGAAATGAACAAGTATATACTGCCACATAATAGCTTTCCACATTTACCCCCCAAATTCTAGWACCATGTAGTCAGCATGAATTGGAAACCAGAGATGTAAGGTATGTTTGTGATTCATTGCTTCCTGATAAAGTGAGGATGGGGGAGTGGTGTGGAAAAAATGATACAGCGTTCATGTGTCATGTATAATTGATCCATGTCTTCATCAGGAGAAAGAAAGAATGGGTTTTAAATATACTTTTGCATAACTTAATGAATTTTTTTTAATCATAGCAATTTCAGAAATGTGTAGTCTGGTATTATTGGGGACTCCTGGAAAGCCTTAGAAGGTTTGTGATGAGCTTTAGCCTTTTATCCAGTAACCTGGGCCACTCAAAATCACAACTCTTCCCCCTCAACCTCTTGCTGTCCCCTTTCTCACYACAAGTCTTTAGTTTGCAATAACCCAGGCTGCTTTTCTTTCCTTCTTTCTCTTTCCCTACCTTCTTTCATTTCTTCTCAAAAATGGTCTTATCATCTGGCTAAAAATCCCACTTYCAGGTTTTGCAGTTTCTATTCTCAGCTGTCCTAACCTTCCAGCCTCAGCTGACTGCATATTGGTAAATGAGAAGAAGGAATTTTTTGGTTTGTCTGTTGTTGAGGTTTTTTGCTGGGGTTTTGCTGTTTTGCTTTGGGTTTTTTTGTTGTTTTGGTTTTGTTTTTTGTTGTTTTGTGGGGCTTGGTTTGTTTTGTGGGG